CTGGTATGGCCAAATTTGGCCATTGGAGACCGGCTACTGGTTAGAAAATAGGCCAGAGCTCTATCAAAAAACAACTTTAGACCACCGGACTAAGCGCCCAGACCAAGATGATACAATTACTTAAAGATCTAGGTCATTGGGATGCTTAAGGATTCCATGTAGGCTAAGGACTAGTCTGCGAAAGTTACAGGTGGTGAGGGGTCAAAAATCGTTAATTTTAGGGGTAATTTTATTGCGAATTAACTGGTACTGTATTACTTCACGGTCGACCCGAGCTTGGTCATTCACTAAACAATGATTTTGTCTCTAGTACAGAGTCTACGCCGGCACAAGTACTTCTAWCGGATTTTTTTGGGTACGTACCGTACGGGACGGTAGAGCAGTACCGTACGGCAGGTTAAGCTCGCATGTTGTGACGAGGTTTTTAGCTTGAAGCTTCTCGGGAAGCTTTGGTTTCGCCGCTTCGGAATTGCTGTCCCTCGTCMCTCCTTCTAGACCTACATCCAAACCTCAACAACAACCCGACCACCCCACCCACGGCAGGACTCACATCTTTCATGGCGGGCCAAACCGTCGTGTCCCGCAACAAAAAGCCCGCGGCGGCGCCCGTGGACGCCTGCCGGGGGGACTCTTCCTGCGGGMCCCTTCCGCCGGCGGYGGCCGTTCCGGTGTCCCCCGTGRCGAACCCCTTCCGGGGGAGGACCGGAACGGCCCGGTCGTCCCGTCTCGCGGGGGTCCTCCTCGCGGCKGCGCTCCTCGTCTGCGGCTCCTCCCGGGGTTTTTTCGTTCCCGGCCCGGCGGGGGACGCCCCTGCGCCGCGGGGGCAGCAGCAACCACAGCAGCAGCTCCGTYTCCGCCCGGCGTACCTGACGGACGACGGTGCCAAGGACGAGGACGCCGACGACCCCAACGCGGAAGAGACCGAGGAACCCACCGAGGAAAAACAGACTTTCGCGAACGAGRAACAGGAGGAAGAAGACGGGGAACCGAAACACGATGACCCCGAGGACGAACCGGAAGACGACGGTGGCAACGAAGCGAACGAAGAGGGAGGGAAGGAAGAACCAAAGGTACGTCTTCGTTCTCCTTCTGGGAACCGGCAAGAACCGCAAACTCCGCAACACGGCGGGCGACCAAACCAAAAAATCCCAAAGATTTTGATCTTTACGCACCACAAAAACTTGTTGGAGCTCCTGCCGAAATCGAACGAGCTGCTCGGAACCGATCCCGACCACCACGACTCCAATCCCGACGACGCCGATTCTCATCACGCTGCTGCTGTTGTCAATCATGCTGCTAACGCCGATGCCATTTCCGATGCCGATGTCGATGCCCACCCTCCCGCCCGTTTCACACCAGACGAACTAGAGGAACTCACGCTCGCCGTCAACGTGAAGCATTCCATCGATGTCCACAACCGCTCCTCTGCCGGGGACGAAAGCGGACCGCCGAAGGTCCTCTTCTGGACGGACGAAGACTGCCTCCGGTCCCTGCAGAAGACGCGGCCGGCCCTGGTCCCCTACTTTCGGGCCGAAACCGAGGGCATGTACAAGGCCGAYGTTTGCCGCGGGACCGCCCTGCTGGAGCACGGCGGGTTCTACCTGGACGCCGACCTGGGGGTCCGGGACGACCTGTGGAGGGACCTGCGGCCGGAAACCGAGTTTGTGACCGCAAGGGTGCACAAGGCGTCGAACTGGGTCGGGAGGGGCTTTTTCCAGGCGATCCTGGGATCGTCTCCCAACAGCCCGGTGCTCTCGCGCTACCTGGAGCTCTTCGAGAAGCACTACGACGGCCGGGAGAAGGTCGAGAAGGGCCCCCTGGGCGTCCTGCTGCTCAAAACGGCCTGGGACCAGGTCCGCGACGAGCGCGGAGAAACMACGGTCCCCACGGAGCTCTACCAAGAGCTGCTCTACCACGAGGCGGGCCCGCTCAACACCGGGCCGAACAGGGGGGCCCTGTCCCCGGCGCCGACCTGGGGGAAGCGACGGGCCTGCCACTTTGTCGTGGCCGGGATGGCGAACGACCCCTCCCTCGCCGACGTCGTTCTGGAGGCCGCCGAGGGCGGTGGAAGCAGCGCGCCGCGGGGGATCGGCCTGCGGATCCCCGCCCTGAGCCGGATCCCGGGGAGCCGCATGTGCGCGGAGCCTTCGAGGGAGGGGGATTCGACCCTGCGGGCGATCGGGGCCATGCGGTGGTGGGAACGGGCCTGAGCGGGGTCGGAACGGCCCGGCCCCGCCCCGAGCGGTGGCGTCTCCTTCGACGGGCACGGTGCGGAGGCCGAGAACGAACGAACGAGCGACGGTACCACGAAGTTAGCATTCTAGCASTTTTTTTTTTGCCGAAATCCAGAACAAAATTCTAATTTTTGGAGTCTCATAGACGTTTTCGATTGTTGCTCGGAAAGGACACTGTTTTTAGAGGAATGCTGTTTTCGCGGTTGTGCTTCAAATTGCAAAGCACGCATCGCGCCTTTGTCTTGGGAGCACCACYCTAWGGGTCGATCGTTCCTTTAGGGGTGCGTACATACATGCCCGGACTACGGTACTSCTTTCGACAGCGTAAAATATATCTTCCCATGTTCGCGTTGCTGSCACAAAGCTGCCGGAGCGGCGTTYTGGGTATACCGCGTCAATGCACCGGTGGTGGCGTCCACCCGAATCGTCTTCTCGCTCCTTCATTCGTTCGTTCGTTCGTTTTTACTGTGTACAAGTACTGTGGAAGAAAAGTTCGATCCGAAAGCACAGGACCATTCCCACGTTTGTTAGGTGCACGTTTGAAACTTGGTGCGTTTTGGTTCGCGACAGATTGTTGTGATAACGACAGACAGACAGACCGCTAGACAGACGTATGCCATGCCCCAGCGTACGGTACGGTGAATGTTGCGGGTACATAYCGGTACATGAAGATGTACCTCGTGGTTGCAGGACGGGTTCCATGTTTCATGGGTATGATACCGTTACAAGTCGTATTACGAGTACGATACTGTACCTGTGTTACCATTCCTCTTGCTCATACCGTACGAACGCATCCGGTCCGACCCGATCGTCGAAAGCCCAGGACCAAGCCGGGAGTCTCTCGAAATCAAATCATCCTGCACAGAGCGAAGGGATCGCCTCCGCACAGGACGAATCAATCCAATCGCAAGAATGACAGAGGAATCGACACCGGCCCCTCCCGCGCCCGCGGTGGGGACCAACACCGAGAATCCCGCCGCCGCTGCCGGTGGCCCCAAAAAGAAAAAGGAGAAGAAGGTCCCCCCCGGCCTGGTCATTCCGCCAAAGCGACCGAAGCTGACAAAGGCAGAACGCCGGGCGCTCCAGGAAAAACAGCGAGCCGCCAAGGCGGCGGCCCAGGGCGGAAAAGCCGGGGGGAAACAGCTCCAGCCGACCCCGAAAAAACACGTCTTGGCGGCACAGCARCAACAACAGCAACAACAACAAGCCGACAAGAAAACCGCATCACCCGCCGAAAACGATAAGCAAAACAAAGACAAGGGCCAGAACAGCAGCAAAGCAGCAACCGATGACGATGATCTATTTTCTCACTTGCCTCAATACAAAGGTAGGTCGGGTTTTGATTTGCCTCTCCAACAAAATGCAATGCGTTCTTGCTGTAATAGCCAAGGTTGCTAACGATTGCGATCTAGAAAACTTGTGTGTTCTGATTTGTGTAGCCCTCATCACTGTTCCTCTCTTTTTGTTCGTTTGATCCTGTTGCAAAGAAATGCCCGACCCGTACGCTCCCGAATACACCGAAACGTTGCATCCGGATGTCATTGAACTCGGTCTGAAATATGCGTCGGGAGAAATCCAGGGAGACAACGAACGCTGTCGATCCATGATGCAAGTCTTTTTGCAGGTGTTGAAAGACTACGTTCTGCCGACGACAGACAAGAATACCGCAGCCGATGTCGACTTTCGTCACCACTTCGACCACCAGGTACTCAAACCCAGTTTTCAGTTCTGGACCGTCAAGTGCCGACCGCACAGCGTTTCAATGGGCAACGCCTTTACCTTTCTCAAGACGGCCGTCGCATCTCTGGACCGAGAGGTTTCTCTAGAGGACGCCAAGCTCGAATTGGAGGACACAATTCAGCGGTACCTGCAGGAACGATTGGAATATGCCGATCGCGCCATTGCCCAGCACGCCATGGACAAGATTCAAGACGGAGATATACTGCTGACCTTTGGTCACACGGAGGTCATTGACGTCTTGCTGCGGACGGCCCACGAGGARCGAATCGACTTTTACGTCTGGGTCGTCGACGCTCGACCCGATGCGGATGGCAAGAAATTGCTGCAGAGCCTGCGGGAGGCCGGCATACCCTGCGGGTACATCCGGTTCAACGCACTGACCTACGTTATGCAGCAGGTCACCAAKGTCTTCTTGGGTGCGAGTGCACTGCTGGTGAACGGATTCATCTACGGAAAAATCGGGACGGCGTGCATCGCTTTGTTGGCCAAGAGCCACCATGTCCCCGTTTTGGTCTGCTGTGAAACCTACAAGATTTCAAACAAGGTCCAGCTGGAATCCATTACACTGAACGAATTAGGAAATCCCAACGACCTGCTGCTGCTAGCCAGCGGGWATAAGGAAAATAGCAAAAGCAAAGCGTCKAGGCAGCCCAACCTCAGGGCAGCTAACCTTTTGTACGACGTCACCCCCGATAAGTTTGTAAGCGGAATCATCACCGAGCTCGGAATCATTCCACCAACGAGTGTGGCTGTCTTGTTGCGGGAAATGAATATGGCTAACGACACGGCCTATTGATGGGGAACCAAATAACAATCCATCCTGTGGACATGTTCAATAACGAAACATTGCTAATAATCTCCATAGTTCCTTCACTTACAACTCGTTCTTTTCAAAGGTGATTCTAATTTATTTCTGTATTTTGTTTGTTATGAAAGGAAAAAAAATAATCGACGCAAGAGAAAGAATGGAAGAACTTCACAGTATCGTTGTTTCGCCTAAGTTATAACAATCGCCGGTTCGCCCTGTCATTTATATATTACCATTGCTAGTTCAAATAGTCTAGTTGCTTCGATTAAACTTCGAAATATTTTATCTTCTACTTTAACAATTGTGGCGATAGAATGAGAGACAGAAATAAGACATATTTTCGTGACATGAAATTTGCTTTGGTTGTATGGTGTTTGCAATGCCCAGTTAAGTGCAAGAATGGCGATTGTCCGCGATGACAATCAAATGTTGTGGGTCAACGAATTCATCAATGATCAACCACTCTCTTCTACAGGAGAGCGAAGCTCATTTAATGTAGGACGCTGAATATTCGTTGCAATATCTATAGTATGAAAGTGAACGAGGGAGCGTTAGAATGCGAGAACAGAGAAAAGCGACGAGAAACGAGTACGAAGCACGGGACGAAATGAAGCAGCACGACTTCCTTTCGATGCAACCGTTGCGTTGGATAACTTTGCCCTGCTGTTTGTTGGTTGAAGTGATACTTACATGTGAGCGCTGCAGGTGTGGGCAATTGTACGCTGCCATCTCTTGGAACCGCAGGGGTTGGTCCGAGGACCATATTTGCCACACTAGCAGGTGTGGGTCGCATAGTGGGCATTCCAATCAGGTCCGCGGGTGGAAGGGTAGCCACCGGTGCAAAGGTAACCGGAGAGTCGGTAACGACGATAATTCTTCCCGTGGGAGACAAAGTCTTTGTCGCGGTAGGGGACGCAGTCTGTGTTACCGTGGGAGCGGCTGTTGCACCGGGAACCGGCGGTGCGGTGACAACTGGGATAGGTGGTGCCGTAACGGGATCGGTCGGGCCCCCTGGAATTGGTGCAGGGGGAGGTACCGGTACGGTTGGAGTTGGAATTGGTTGACCCGGTACATTCGTTGGAAGCTGGGGGTTAAACCCCTGTTGAAAAGTGGGAAATGGAGTGACTGGAGCCGCTGTCGTAGGAGGGGAGGTAGGCCCAGCCGTAGGCCTAAAGGATGGTCTTCCTGTTGGTTGCTTGGTAGGAGGACTAGTGGGACCTGCCGTTGGTTTCAATGTGGGCTTGAACGTTGGAATTCTAGTGGGTTTCTTTGTAGGTCCGTCCGTTGGTCGCCTCGTAGGCCTTCTCGTGGGTCTACGTGAAGGCCGTTTCGAGGGTCTACCTGTTGGATTCTTCGTGGGATTCTTTGTTGGACCATCCGTTGGTTGCTTAGTAGGCATTCCAGTTGGAGCCTTGGTTGGCAACTTCGTTGGCCCCTTGGATGGAGCTTTCGTCGGTGCTGCAGTTGGAAACTTGGTTGGAGCTGCAGTTKGTGCTGCAGTTGGTGCTGCAGTTGGTGCCTGTGTTGGAGATGGGGTAGGACTTTCAGTTGGATCTTGACCACTGGTGCCGTAGAGGAGGCACGAGAAGACCAAAATGGCATATGCGGGAGAGCTGAAAATCTTCATTGCTTAGATTCGTTTTCCAGCTTGCTACTGGTTGACCTCAAATCTATTATTGTGCTCGATGGCTTCTTCCTGACGTTCTCACTTACTTCAGTCGCAACAAATGCAAACACTGTTACTGCTGATAATCGAAGCAATTTTTGCGTCCAGAAGTTGGATTTGAATATTGTGGATAAAACAATGATAACTGTTGGTGAGGTACTAGTCACACCTTCGTTCATAATATGTGCAAACTGAGAAAGCTTGTGACCGATGATAGGCCTTTGGCAACTACATTCAGATGCAAATACTTATTTCATGCGACGGGTTTTAAAAACGTTTTTTAACTCCCTCCAAAAGACTAGTGTAACAAAATTCTTCAAGCAAACAAAATTTCTATCATGCCGTCGTCAAAAAGAAAACGTCTCAGCCAAATTCTTCGATCAACATGAAAACACGCAAATTACGACCTTCGTAATCTTGAAATCCCATCGAATTTGTTGATCATAATAAATAAATTTCTTTCTTGCATTATATTTCTGGCGAGGCAATTTTTTGGTCTGGATTCTTCGCCAAATAACAATCTGTTCTTGCTAACGAAATTAATAGGCAACTAAATTGGCATCTACCTAAGTATTTTTTGTTGATGACCGCGACCAAATACGAAAGGAGTAAACACCGAACCTTGTTTGCATTTTGATCACGAAGATTACAGTAACGCGGAAGAAGATAATCTTTGTGAAGAGCACTCACGAGTAACCCATCGTGTGACGTACGGTGCTGTACTTCACATCTGGAGAACGAACCAGATTGGTACGATTAAAAGACGGAACAACAACAAGAAGCTAGGGTGACATTCCTGGTATCTTTGAAAAGGCCATAAGTCATTAATTTTGAAACTGCCATTGGTTCGTTCTCAAAATCCCAGAAGCCAAAATTTTGGCTAAGATATGCTTATTCTGCTGGGAAAGAAACAATTCCCTAAGAGTGGAACAACAACACAACAAAGCAAGAAGAATCCCCCACTCTCACCCCCTCACCAGGCACCACCATTGTCCAGCATAGTACTAGTAGGTCACATGTGACGACATAGTAGTACTACGACTCACTTTTGGGGATTGTCACTAGCAGTTTGTGATAGTAGTAGTACTACTAGTACTAGGAGTAGTTCTGGAAGAGTGCATGACTGAACATGTCAACAAGAACAAAATTAGCCATTCAGTAGGACTACCACACCACCAGCACAGCAGTTTTCTGAGGTCCGCAGTGCAGGAGCTTCTTCTTCTTGTGGTGGTGATGCTGGAGGCAAAAAGCACTTAGAGGACCTCATTGCAGCAGGAGGAGCACTTCTTTGAGGATAGTATGAGGGAGTACACCATAAGAAGAAGCATCATGATGAAGTTGATTTTTTTGGGACTATTTGGGAACTTATTGTTCTGAAACACTTGAAATCAACAGGTGTTGCAGTGTTCCTCCTCCACCTCCCATCATGGTGGTTGCAACTCTCATCCTCCCAATACTAAGGCCTAGTGCTACTACTAGTAGGAGTAGTACTAGTGCTTTTGGTGGTGGCAAGATTTTGTTGACTACAGGCGTGTTTTGAGCTACAGTAGAAAAAAAACTTTTCTAGGGGAGGCATTCAAAAAGATGTAGGTGTGTGGTCAGCAGGGTGCCCAGGATTTTTTTGGTGAATTTTTCAATTCAGTTGGTACTGAGTGGTAGTACCTACCTTCAATTTTCAAAAGATTCCCCCAATTCATTAGGTTTAGGGGGTTGGATTTGGTTTCGTAGTACCGTAGTGTAACGTACCTTACTCGTATTCGTAACCTGACATCAAAATCACAATTCAAATTATGGGCGCAAAGATCCTCAATTGCACCTCGACCACAATTATCATCATCGACAACGACAACGTTCAAGGCAACAGTGAAAACGATCCGAGGCAATACTTGAATCATCAGTTTCGCATGCAACATTCAAAAGTAGTGACTCCGCAAACAACGAAACGGGATAGCCCGCGTCAGCAATCGCCGCCGCCGCCGGCATCCCGGTGCTTCTACCCGTATTGCAATCCCTGGTCCATTTTTTTTCAGATGGGGCTTGCCGCCCTTGCAATCGCTTTGTACCAGCTCTACTCGCGATTTTACGATTGGACACCGTGTAGCAGTGATCCGCCGATCAATTTCGATCGCGATCCAAATAGCTACCACTATACGTTCCGGGACTCGTGCAAGCTCTTTTCTTCCGAGTACACAGAAGCCAGGGAAAAGTTTCGCAATGCCGTTGTAGCCTTTGGCACCCGCCAGGCAATTCAAGCAAGCGAGACCCAAAAGCTGATCAACACAGATGCAGTGAGAGAATCGGGCAGCGCAGAGCTCGTCACCTTTCCGGTGGTAGTAGATCTCGGCGGCGAAACTGAAAAGCTTTCCCTGACAATAGATATTGCGGTCCTTCCCGGAAACACAAAAGAATTGGGCACGATTGTTCATTCGTCGGGGGTCCACGGCATCGAGGGATACGCAGGGAGTGCTATCCAGTTGGCACTGCTAGAATTATTGTCGTCCTCGCGAGCGACGGCATCGTCCTCAGATAGCAGAAGCGATGAAAGGAACGAGAATACCATTCGAAATGATCTCCGGGAACGACCCACAATTGTGATGGTACACGCCGTAAACCCCGTTGGGATGGCAGAATTTCGGAGGTGCAACGAAAACAACGTGGACCTGAATCGGAACGGAATCCGCGGCGACACCGGCGACGCGTTCAAGGAATTTCTGCGCAACCGGGATCCGAACGTTGCGGGGTACGATGATTTCCGTCACTTGTTCGTTCCCGACACGGACGGAGACAGCCATGGTGGCCCCGCTGATCCTACACTCTCGCTGTACGATACCACCGTTGGCTTTTTCGCCAAGGCAATTCCCGCACTATGGAAACACGGGTTTTCGAAACTAAAACGAGCCATGGTGTCAGGTACGTGCTGCATTTCGTCTTGCTCTTGGTTTCCTCGCTCCAACACACGACCCGATAAATCACTAAACAGCACAGTAAACGAAATCTTACGTTTTGTACTCACATCTAACGAGTGAACTCGCCATAACTTTTGCTTGCAATCTCGCAATCCCCACCGATGCGCACACCAATTCGACTCGATTCGATTCGACTCGGCTCGACAAATACCCCACTCCAAACACAGGGCAGTACCACGACCCCGGTGGGCTGAATTACGGTGGAGAAGAGTGGCAGCCTTCCGTCCGGCGATTGCTCGACTTTTTTGTGAAAGACCGCCCAGAATTTTTCAGGGATTCGMCCTCGGTGGTATGGATCGATGTCCACACCGGGCTGGGGCCGTTTGGAAAGGATTCGATCCAAATCTATGGCCGCCGCGAGCAAGGTGATCCTCCACCCAACACAGAGCGGGCATTGGCGGACTACTATACGGCGGCCCACAGCGTGTCGAGCGACGAGGACATGTTTTCCAACCAAGCCTTTACCGGCTACGAGCTTACCAGGGGCATACTCATGGAGTTTCTTGCGGATGCCTACCGCGATCTGGTGGAAAGCGGCGAGGGGGAAAACGGGCGCCGCGGTGGTGGCGCGAGGGCGGGGTTTTTCATGTGGCAGGAGTTCGGGACGCTGCCGGGGACCCTCGTGGGCCGGGCCCTTATCCTCGACAACGCGCTCTACCAACTCTACAAGCGAAGGCCCGAGACCGGCGGAGAAGAAGCCTTTTCGTACCGATCGCCCTTCCTGAAGCAAGCCTTTTATCCCCAATCGACGGAATGGAGAAGCTCGGTGGTTCGAAGAGGCGTGGCCTTGTTTTTGCAATCCGTCGAATTCACCAAGGCAAGGAGAAACGCACGCGTTGTAAACCAACACAAGCACAATATGAATCCATAGAACGGAGCTACCATGTCGTAATTGCTTTGGAATAACAACATTATACAGCTTTTGAAAGTCCATCATGCTTCCTTAATGGCAGTACTGGTCACATGTAATGCACCAAAACTGTGAATCTTCTGTCAAATGCAACTCGTACGTATTGCATCTGTTATTTCTCTTACTGTACAAGCGTAAATAACAAAAATTTTAYGAATACCGAATAGCCGTGCTTATCGAACGGTGGTTGCATCGTACGAATTGGATGTCTCGCGACGAACAAGTCGTCTATCTTTTTTGGCGCGCCCAAAAATAAAGATCATAACCTGTGAAATGTTGATAGGCTCCTTAGTGTACGTGAATACGTGGTTTACAATAAAGAGTGAGGTTATTCACTATCTACTCGTGAATGTGTACTGTCTCGTGTACGTGTACTGTCTCACACTTCGAGTACGTGACATGAAAAGAATCTTCCGCGAAACGACGGTAATAGCTGATAGGTGCGTATGACAAGGTACGTATGAGGGTACGAGTATGTAACTACGCACCACGTGCTTTCGAGATTGAAGGAGCAGAAACAAGCGTACGTTCCCGTTACCCATACCGTATGGTAACAGGTAGACGACCCAGCAGGAATACACACGTAGCGGCTGTTGCCGCAAGGAACGCAAAAACAAACCACAGGCTCCACTGCAGTACTTACGTACGATACCGTTCAGTACGGAGCAACGGGAATCCCGAGGGCCTTGGTGTTGTTATCTCCAGTCCATTGGACTTCCCCGACTGGGTTGAACCAACGAGTATTATCAAYAGACTGGTGATCTAGTGAATTAACTAGTTCTAATCACTCCTAAGTAAATTAAAGAATATGGGATCAATCATGTCGCGTGATTTGTCGAATTTTCTTGCTGGGTACTTTGTAGTATCAGGTATACAGTAATCCCTAACCTTATCCAACAACTCGCATGACATTATTATCAACAATATTATCAACACACTCCTGCGGGCTCGTCATTGTTACACTGTTGTTATCATTGGCTAGGCCGAATTCCTTTAGTGCTTCATCATATTGTTGTCTGTACAAGCCAAAATCCTCCTTGTTTATACCGAGTATCATATCTCGGAACCTCAGGAACACCTTTCCTTGTAGTGGCTTTGTAAAGTAGTCAGCAATCATGTCCTCCGTTGGACAGTATTCAACTCTAATCTCCTTATTCTTGATACGGTCTGTTATAAAGAAATACCGTACATGTATGTGTTTGGAACCTTTCCTACACGATAGTCGGCCATTGTTCTGTAGCAGGATTGCACTTTTATTGTCCTGGTACAGCGTGTGTACTTGGTTGTCTTCACCTGTTTGCTCTATTGCAAACTGTCGGAACCAGAGATGTTTTGGTAGCTTTTCTCCTACTGATATCATTTCTGTTTCCGTTGAGCTGATTGTATTGATTTTGCTCTTAGTCGATGAGGCGTATACTGCCCCCTTTCCCATTGTTGCATATGCTCCACCATGTCCCTTCATATCGGCATGTACTGCATGAGCCCCGTCTATATATAGGGATGTTCCTTTGCCGTTAGCTTTCAGTATAAGTGGTAGGTGTGCTGTGTTCTGCAGGTACATAAGCTGGTGTTTCAGTTTCTTGTAGTCGTTTATATCTGGATCCTTAACTCGTGTGCAGAGGAATGCTGTTGCCAGCTGTAGATCGGGTCTTCCTCTCTTTCCAAGCCATAAAGTCTGTGCTGTGAGCGAGTGGAATAGGTCCTTAGTCTTATTATCCAGTTTGGCCATTCCTGTGTAGTCTGTATTGAAAAGGTGTAGCGGTGCTGCTGTAGCTCTGACCCCTTTCATATCCTCCGGTAGCTCGTCAATCATCCTCTTTATGTAGTCGTACATTGTGATCTTTACTTCTCCTGGTGTTTCAAAGTTTATTGTCATCCCTAGATACTGGTGGACATGTCCCCTTACGATTGTCATTGGGTCTGTCTTTGCATATACTGACTCCAGCTGTTTGATTAAGCTTRTGACRACTGCCGGGTYCGCATGGCTCAGTTTCATATCATCCACATGGAATACCACTGTACATTGCTTCCGGTTGATCATCTTGTTCCAACAACATGGTTCGTATGGATTCATTTCAAATCCCCAGTCCGTTAGGTGCCCAATTAGCTTTTTGTATGATAGTAGTGCCGCTGTAACTGTTCCATATATTGCTTTATCGCATCGTACATATATAGTTGGCCGTCCGCGCTCGATGTTGATGTGTTTCCGCCATCTCTTATTGTCAATCTTTGCCAACAAGAGGGCCAATGGTCCATCTAGCCGTAGTAGTATCTCTCCCTCCATGTCTGTCTGTAAAAAGTGTCCGGGTAGATCGCATGTGGCGACATCTCTTTGCTCCTTTGCATCCATTATCAGTGTAAAGAACAGGGCTTCGATTGCTATCGTTGGTGATGCTGACTCATGCTTGGGCGTCCATAGCTTTTGTGTCCTTCTGTCAGCACATGCCCTTCCTTTCACAGTAATTCCGTCTCGTTTTAATGTTAGGAACAKTAGTATTGGTAGTGCTTTCTTCTTTTCCTTGTCCGGAATATCCTTGTATTCTATTTCACTGAATACTTCTCTAGTTAGCATTTGTCGTAGCTCTTTCATTGTTGCTTTGCGGCCGTCTTCGCCAAATYTCTTWAGTCCAGCTTTAAGACTGTACTGCATCATCATCATATCGTTGATGTATGTATCCTTCTTTTCCATTTGTGCGATGTATTCTAGTGTGGCCTTGTAGTTTTCATAYTCATTATTGGTGGTTATTCTTTGTATCGTGGAATCGTTGTCGGTTTCCATTTCAGTGCTATGAAGGTACTGGTATTCAAATTGATCCTCCATTGGTCTTCTCATTGTTCCATTGTGTCTATTTCGTGTTGAGCGACGCGGTTCCTGGTGTATGTCTTCGTCGATTTCTTCTGATTCGTTATTGGTGTCTGCCACTCCTGTGACCTCCTCTGGTCCAGTATCATCGTGATGTTCTTGCGGATCCTGCTGGTGTGGATGTATTTCATGTAGCTCATCATCCTCCTCGTGTTGGGTGTCTGCATCCGCATTGTCTTCGGTGTCTTCATGATTGTCATCTTCGATATTGGTGGTGGCATCATTCTCTTCGTCATCAGCGTCGTTTGTGTTAGTGTTAGTGTTAGTGTTTGTGGTGTTAGTGTTAGTGTTGCTGTTGCTGTTGCTGTTCACTCCTGTAATTTGTGTAGTATCGTGGAGTACAGGCAAATTAGTGTTGGTTAGAGGTTCAGCATGGTCCAGTACCGGGATTGGAGCGTGGTCCGTATCGTGGGCATAGTCCACGGTATCATCCGGGAATGGGGCGTTGGTACGATCTGTAAATAGGAC